GTGAACTGTGTGAGCTAAGGCAGGAAGGGGCAGAGGGGGGCACTACCTGGCTGGATTTCAGCATGTGTGCAAGGGGCCAGGCTGGATAAGTAAGTCGTGGAAGGACTTCTAAGGGCGTTGACGACTCATCCCAAATAGGCTAAGTCAGAGATTCCTAAAACACCTCTCTCATGACTCCCTCTGAAACATTTAATGAGAACAAACACTTTTAATTATAGCGACACTCTTTCCCCCCTGCCCCCGTACAAAACCGTCAAGGCCTATGGCTCTGCCTCCAGGAAGAAGAGCACGGCGATGGGTTGGAGGTACAATCATGCACAAAATATATTTTGTCCCGATCCTCCCAGCACGCACACAAAGGGTCCTTGAAGGCCATCTTTATATAGATGGGAAATTGAGGCTCTAGAAAGAGAGAGTATTCCCAAGGGCATCGGTGAATAGGGTCCCAATCACCTGACTTCTAGTTTCCCATCACACTCTATTGTCTCTGGGATCTCTGACTGGTCCACGTTCTTCCATCCCAAGACCACCTCTGGGCCTCTGGGGCCTCTACTCTGGGCTCTGGGCCTCTACTACTTTGTTCTCCAGCTGCGGCTGTCTCTTCCACTCTCCAGCGTTTCCCAAAGAGCAGTTGCACAGCTTGGCTTTAATGGGAAAGGTGGTCAAACTCTTCTGAGCAGCAGAAGGGCATGCGTGTTCAAGCACGCGTTGCCCTGTCTCAGCCCGTCCATCCTACATTAAACATTTATTAGCCTGCACTTGGGGAAACACCTTTAGTCTGAGAAGGCTAGGGCATCCAGTCCAGTCTCTGGAGGGGAAGGTACAGGCTTAAAAAGGGCTACTCACAAACGTGGACCGGAAGACAAGACCAAGCACACTGAGGCCCTGACTAAAGCAGGGAGGTCATGTCACCTAGATATTTCTGAGAGCAGTGGGGTAAACTGACTGGCTGTGGGGGTGAGGGTGTGGATAGAGCCTGGGATGAGCAGCCCAGGTGCAAGGGCCAATCACGTGTTCAGGTCTGCTCCCTCTCCCTCATGAGGGACTCCCCTGCCCCCCAAGCCCATGCTGTGCTGGAGCTGGGTCTGGTTGGTCTTCAGATGAAGATGTTGCGGAGCAGGAACATAGGGGTCCCTGAAGGATGCTTCACAGGAGCCTTAGAGCTCACTCAGGGATCTCCTGGGAGGATGGCAGAGGCATTCCCAGACAGAATGCCTCCTCCTTCCTGTCAGCCCCCGACGACCACCCGACCAGTGAGCTCTAGAAGTCCCAGTCGCTGGCTCTTCAAACACTCTCAGATGCACAAGACTCCTGAAAAAGTTGCCCTCCATCTGTGTTTTATGTTCCAGTAAAAGCGTTGGGTTCTTGTCCGGAGAAGCTTACCGAACACCAAGGAAGGTGCTTGTCTCCTGAAACTTTCCATCCACACATCCATAACATAGCTCAGCGCTCTGAACTTCTGGCCTGTACGTCTACCTGCCTGCTGCACGTCATCTGGATGTCCCAGAGCCATCTTAGGCTCCATGTGTCCCAAACGAATTCGTTTTCTTCCCTCCAACCCCAACTTCCAGGTCTTCTGTGTCCTCTTTGCAGAAAACGACAAAACTATCCATCCATTTACTCAAGCCAGACACTCAAGAGTTACCTGGGACGCCCTCTTTTCTCCTGTCTCTCATATCCAACTTCCATGCTGCCTAATCCAGGGGCAAATTCAGTGCTCCCGTCTCACGCAGCAGCTCAGCAGCAGCCAAATCAAGTGTCCGCTCCTCCCGGAACACTCTCCTCTCTTCGTCTCCATAGCAACACACTCTGCCAATTTTCTTCCTGCCTCATCTGCCCCTTCTCCACTGCTCAGCCGCTAATTGTCGCAGTACTCCAAGTCATGGTCTTGTCCCCCTACGTTCTCGTATTACTTATCCTTCTCCAGTTCCATGACTTGGAAGTGTAAATGCCTGAGACTACCAAATCTGGATCTCTCCTATCTCTCCTCTACAGCTTATAGGCTCAGAGCCCCAGGCAGTGTGGCTCCACTGGTCGGCGTGTCACCCCGTCCACCCGAAGGTTGCGGGGCCGTTCCCGGCCCTTGGGTATGGGTTTGATCCCTGGTCGGGGCAAGTAAGGGAGGCAACCAGTCGATGTTTCTCTCTCACGTCGATGTTTTCTTCTCTCTAAAATCAATAAAGATAGTTTGAAAACTTGTTTTCAATTTAAAGCTTAGGCTCATAAACACACCTGCCAACTGACATACCTCTTCAGTTTGCTTTGGCATGACTCAAACTCCTGAAGCCACATGTGTTCAGTCCTGCTCTTGATCTTCTTCGTCCCAGTATGAGTCATCTATCCACCAAACTGTTCAACACCCACATCCCGCAAACCATGCTTGATTCTACCGTTTCTCCCATCCCTCTATTCACACCAACAAAGCCTATGTCTAGATCTACCTCCAAAATATCTTCCCAATCGTCCACTTCTCTTCCCCTTTGCCCACCATCAGCCTGGTCCACGTCACCATCGTCTCGTGCCTGGACAACTGCACTAGCTCATCTCCCTCCTTCTATTCTTCCCCTCCTCCGGTTCACTCTCAACACGGCAGCCAGGCAGGCAGCTCATAAATACAAATTTTGATTATATGGCTCCCTGGCCTATAACCCTCCAAAGGGCTTCCATTATACTTCAAATTCCGAGTCAAATAAAATTCATGGCTATTGATCTAATCTGGCCTCTGTTCACGTCTCTAAAACCATATCCAACCACTCTCCCCCTTGCTCACTACATCCCTGCCATACCGCAATTCCCTTGTCTTTAGAGCATGCTAAACCTTTCCCGCTTTACGCATTGGTGTTCCCTCTACCTAGAACTCTAGTCCACTTCCGGAACACTCTCCTCTCTTCGCCTCCATAACAACACTCAGCCTAAATGTCACTTTCTCAACGACAAGTAACAGAAATACCAACTAAAAATCGCTTGACCAACGATGGGATTTATTAACTTATATAGCCAGAATCCTAAATGAGGGCATTTCTGGAACCTGTAAAAATAAGGGGCCCAGCAATATCATCAAGGATCCAGGTCTTTTCTATGTTGCTATCTACCAGTCTCAGCTGGTGGACTAGCTCTCCTCTCAATCCATTCCTCACATGCTAACATCAGAGGTAGAGACTTACTGGGTCCTTTTTTTAGAAAAAATAGCCAAGAACCTTTCCCAAGTCTCTAACGGGCTTCCTGGATCTGCTCATTGTCAAGAACTGGGCCACGTGCTCACCCGCAAACCCACGGATGGCAGGGCAAAAGGGACAGTCACATGACCAAGCTAGTAGAGAAGGGTGTATCCCAGAATATAGTGATGGTTCTGCAAAGACGCAGGCGTGAAGTGGGCAGTTAGGTAGGTAACCAACAGTGCTTACCCACATCTTCCCTCGATCATGCAACCTAAAGTTGTCCCCACTTTTCATAATGTTTAAATACATTAAACTTTTTTTCCCTGGTACTTATCGCCAGTTGAGACAATATAGTGTACGCCAAAGAGACTGTGAGGTCAAACTGCCTGAATTTGAAGCCTGGCTATCACTTCACTAGCTGTTCAGTTAAATTACTCCCTGCCTCAGTTCCTTATGGGTAAAACGGAAACGAGGATGATGAAGATGATGATCGCATTACCTACTGATGGAAGGAGTAAATATGTTAAATGCTTAAAACAGCTACCGCGGTGTCACTTCCGTGGTGCCCAGCTGCATTCTGGAGACACTCTCGTAGCCTTATAATGCATTGCCCTTTCTTGCTTAAACCCTCCATTTCCGGCGTTTTCCACGGAGCGCCCGCCCCTTTCCCCGCCTCGTCATTTCGCTTTGGCGCCAACTGGCGCCTGTAAGTGAAGTGACGCGCCTGCGCTCTCCTCGACCTCTGCCCTTTGTCTCCTCCCCTGGTGGTATCGGGTGCAGTACAGACTCCTTTAAGATGCTTGGCCAAGGCCGAACAAATTTCAGACAGACGCCTAGGAGCGCACGCTTGGAACTTGCTCAAACTGGTCCAGGCCGCCTGAGGGGCGGACTATAGGAAACTCCAGAGAACTGATGGGCCTTTCCTGCGGCTCCGCCCCGGGAAGCAACGCTAACGCCCGTGATTGGTCAGAGGTTCTTGGAGGCGGGCTCGGCGGTGGGCGGGCTTCTCCCGTGCAGGCGAGGCTGCCGCGCGGGTGGCGACATGTCGTCTGTGGGTAGTGAGCAGCGTGGGGACAGCGGGGGACAGGGCACTGGTGCTGCCGGCCTCTTCAGCTTCAGCCCGGAGCCCACGCTCGAGGACATGTAAGCCGACTTTGTCCAGTCTGGGCTGGGGAACTCGCCCCGCTTCTCCCTTTTTATCGGGGAGGTTCCCTCCGCTTGGTCGGGAAGGGCTGCAGCTGTCCCAGCTCTGCTGTCCGGCCCCGGGCGAACCTTCTAACCTCCTATACAGAACGGGGTTAGCAGTGCACACCTGAGGCAGGGGAAATGGTGACGCCCGGTGAATAATATTACAACTAGCCCTGAGAGGGAATACTGGATCCATGCTGCTTCTGCCTCTGCCCTCCAGGAGTGGGAGGTAGAACGTGGCAAATGCAGCGAGAGGTGAGAGGCTCTTAATTTCTTGCTGGAGGAAACCAACAAAGGCTTCTTAGGGACAGTGCCCGTGGGCCTGCAAGGTCTCTGTAAGGCATAGCACGTGGGTAGGCAGAGATAGGGGTATGTCTGGTGGAGGAAACTGCAGAAGCAGCCGCGGGAGATGGAATGGAAAGAGGGTGTTGTGAGGTTCCCATGCCGTTTAGGGTCTGCGTAGGCGCTTGGCTCTTTTAATAGTCGCATAGAAAAGACATGACTTGTTTAAGGGCATCCAAGGAGTTAGTTACAGATTCCCGTTGGAAACTTATGTCCCTATTACATATCACTGAGATGCGTGCACGGGCCTGCACCTCTTCGCCCCTCTCCTAACCTTGGGACCTGTGCTTCCACCCTTTTTTCCTACACCAGCCGCCGCCTCCATGCGGAATTTGCTGCTGAAAGAGACTGGGACCAGTTCCACAAGCCTCGGAACCTCCTCCTGGCCTTGGTTGGGGAAGTAGGGGAGTTGGCAGAGCTCTTGTGAGTAAATGAAAGTGTTCCTGGAAGAGTCTTGATGTTGTGCGGGTGGGGAGATTTATTTGACCGTCAAATATCCATGTATTCAATTCCCCTTCTCACTGCAAGGGTCTCATCTTGCTGCTGGGGATACAGAGATGTTCCCTGCCCTCTAGGGGGCACCCAGCCTCCTAGGAGAGAAAACAGCAAGGCAGATCCAGGTCTAAGAAGGGGCTAGTGGCAACCTCCTGTTACCCTGCCTCTAGGGTGGAATGGGAGGTATTCTATAGAATAGGGGTCCCAAACGCCAGGGTCGTGGGCGGGTTCGGAACTGGGCTGGTGCGGCGGGCAAAGAAGCGAACCGGTCGTTGGTGCCAAAAAAGTTGAGGTCGCTGGTGCCAAAAACGTTGGGGACCGTTGCTACAGAAGACCTGCCTGTCGCCTTCCCGGCAGGAGGGGGCTACATGTGCACAGGTAATGAAGTGGGAAAGGGCAAGTTAAATTCAGGAAGAACCTGAGCCTCTATTAGTGTAAGCTCCTCAAGGAAGAGCAAGGAGTTTATACCTTGTTTCATTCTCTGGTGTCTTCCAAGTGCCCGGCACACACAACAGACATAGATGATAGATATCTGTTGAATAATTGATAGGGCTCTGGAGGAGGTGGGATAGGAACCGAGAACTATAAAATTGGGGTTAGGAATTGATGGAGTTTGGATGGAAGACCTAAACAGATTTGAGTGGTAGAAAGATCACTGTGCCTGCACGGTGGATCAGGTGCCCAGAAGAATGAGGGCAGGGGAAGCCCTGGCCAGGTTGCTCAGTTGGTTGGAACGTGGTCCTGTGAACCAAAAGATTGAGGGTTTTATTCCCTGTCAGGGCATGTGCAGGGGTGGGTTGATGTTTCTCCCTCTCCCTCTCTCTTTTTCTAAAATCAATCACTGTATCCCCAGGTGAGAATTAACAAAGGAATTTATTTATTTATTTATTTATTTATTTATTTATTTATTTAAGAGAGAGAGAGAATTAGGGCAGGATAAGACCAGTGAGGAGGCTCGTGTAGATCAAGGCAGAGGTGGCGAGGCCTAAGCCAGTGAAGTCACCGTGGGGATGGAGAAATGAGGGCACGGAGATGTGTGTGAGGGAAGGCCGTTCATTTATTAGATTTATGAGCATCATCTGTATACTTGGTCTTCTAAAGTCTAGCGATATGGCCTTCCAAAAGATACACATCATTCCCACCTTAGCAGTGCAAGATGGGCAGCAGACAAGCAAACTAACGCTAAAATCTCAGGCATTGTGATAGGTTCTCTGAGGAAAATAACCCGAGGTGGAGAGAAGGAAGGAAACGGAGTTGGCTTTTCTGAGGAGGAGAGATGTGAGCTGAGACCTGAGTAACAATAGGGAGGAGCCCGCCACTGGGAAATTGGGGGTGGAGGGGGACCACGGGAAGTTCATTCAGGGAAAGAAGTACAAAGGCCCTGTGGCAGTTTGACCTGTTTGTGAGACAGAAAAAGCCAGAGTGACTTGTAGGTGGGGAGCTGGGGAAAGTAGTGGATAATGACAGTGGAAGAGGCAGGAGTCAGCTCATGCCAGACCTGGAGGGCACGGTCAGGAGTTCAGGTTTTATTCCAAGCACAGCTAGGGGATTTTAAGCAGAGGAGGGACAAAATGTAATTTGCACTTTTAAAAGCTGACGCTGGGCAAGGCTAGAAGATGGGTTAGCAGGCTTCCCCAGTGGTCCGGGTCTGAGGTTTAGGCTGGGGTGGCAGTGGCTTGGGCTGGAGAGAAGTAGAATTGGGTCTTTACGAGTGAAATGATGTGTTGGCAGCCCTTTGGCTTCGGTGAGGACACAGGTCTGGGTGAATCATATGTGGGTGTGTCTTCCCCACCCTGGCCCTACTCTGGCCCCCAGTGGGTTGAGTTGTCCTTGAAGGAAGTTTCTGGAGGTGGGAGTTCATTGCTGCGAGGACCGGGGTGCTCTGAGAGGCAGAGCCCTTCGTCCTAGTTAGCATGTGCGTGTCTGTGTGTTCCACCCCCAGTCAGTGGAAGCCTGATGAGGAGCCTGGCCCGCAAGCCTGGCCCCCCAAGGAACGGGCAGCCCTTCAGGAGGAGCTGAGCGATGTCCTCATCTACCTGGTAGCACTAGCAGCCCGCTGCCGTGTGGATCTGCCCCAAGCAGTGCTCTCCAAGATGGACACCAACCGGCGACGCTACCCGCCACATCTCTCCCGTGGCTCCTCCCGCAAATATACGGACTTGCCCCATGGGGCCACCTCTGAAGACCAGACTGTGGGGGCTACAGACCTTGCCTGTGAATCCTCAGGCCAGGCCTCAGCCTAGAACCATGGACCCAGGATCTGCAACTCAGCATGGCACCTGAGGAGCAGATGATGGCCTGGCCATGGAACCTCATTCTAGTCCTTTTCTAACGATCGCTGGCCTGGGAGCCTGACTCCCTGAAGTCTGAGGCTCAGGAACCTCTGGAAGACAGACTCTTGGTACTCTTCTCTCTCAATAAAAGTTTTGTCTAGCAACTTCTGGATTCCTCCTGGGAAGGCTCTGTCTCAGCAGGTACTACAGGGGCACCAGGGTTGCCTCTGAGCCCAGCTCCCATGTTCTCTACCATGCCTCCCACCTGCCGGGCAGAGATCTCATTTCTAGCAGGTCCCCTGTGGGATCTCCTGCACGTTTGTTCCCCTTTGGAGCCCCTAACAGAAGACTGGAGGCTGTAGGTAGCGGTAAGAGCCCAGATTTGGGAGCCAGGACGTCAGGGTTCAACGCCATACTTGATACTTATCAGCTGGATGATGTTCATCGGCCTCTTCATCTAAAGTGAAAATAACAGTACCTACCTGACAGGGCTCTAAAGTTTAAGTCAGTTATTATTGCAAGTAGAGTGCTTAGGCCAGTGCCTGGCACACAGCAGGTACTTTGTAAGTTTGCAGTTTTCTATCTCTTAGCTCAAAACACTCAGAGGCCCGCCGCAGGAAATGTCAACAGTTAAGGGAGGCCTAGGTCCAGGACTGAGTCTCAGGACCCAGCACAAAACAGGGTCAGGTCTTAGATGTGGAACAGAACAGGGCTTCCACTGCTCTTGGGCTTGGGCCTCTTGCCCCCACCCCTGCCCTCCCAGGACCAATTTCTCATTCCACCTCTACACGGAAATAGTGTTAGCTACGTGTATAATTCACCTGTTGTGTGACCTCAGGCACGCCACTTTCTTTTCTGAGATGCCCGCTTCCCTCAGGGTGGGGTAATGCTGGGGGAAAAGACCTTCACATTTTTCTTGCTGCCCTTATGAGCCTATTTCCACATTATTAAAATGAGGGATTCCCTTTAACGGCCTCATTCCTGTAGTGACTTCACCCTCTTAACCAGTGACCTCTTTCTTACCACCTAAAACAGTCCAGATGGAACTGCTTCAGCTTTGTTTCCAAACCCACCCTGCTTCTCCCTACTAGTGATAGCTGGAGCCTTATCCTTACTGGTTTGATTTCATTCCCTCTCCTTGATCAATTATCTCCTCCCCCCTCTATATACTCAACTTCCTTTCCGTTAGCCTTCCCACCAGCACAAAAATTGAGTCTCCTCCCTAAAACTTTCACCAGCTATTTCCCTCATACTTTTCACAGCCAAGGTTCATGAAAAGGGTTGTCTACACCCACACACTTTGCTTCCTCATCCTCCCATTTATACTCTAACCCACTCAAGGCTGGCTTTTCTCCCTATCCTTCCAGTGAACTGCTCCTGACTTCGGCAAACTCCTACAAACAATTGGCACCCAAGTAGAGCCTGAGTGTGCTGAATATTCCCGGTGAAACACTTTCCTCTAGATTTTCCTAATGAGACACTTCTGGTTTCCTTTCTACTTCTGGCTGGTCATGTTTTTCTTAGGTACCCTCTTCTTAATGAGACATGTTGTCCAGACCTGATATTCCCAAGCTGTTATTTCCAGTCACCTCCCTTCCACATTTACCTCACATCCAACATGTCCTGACTGGGTGTGACAATTCCTCCACTTCAACCATCCTCATCTTGTACCATCTCAGTGACACTACCTGCCGTCATCCAAGCTAAGAAATGAAGTCAGCCCCATGTCTGTCCTGTCCAAAATTCTACCTCAGTATGTCCACTCCATCGCTCCCCTCTCATTCTTCATGGCTTCTTTGCTGCCTTCAATCCTTTCACCCAGTTTATAAGATCCCTAGTGGTTTATCTCCTGCCAGTCTCCTTGGTTTTTGTCCCTGTGTTCCACCAGTAGCTGTCTACAAGCTGTAGGAAGTCCGGCATGCAATTTTAGGGACTCTCTAGTTCCTCAACCCCATCTCTTTATTGGCCTTTAACACCACTTAAAATTACCTGTGAGAAGAACCTCTCTAAAGTTCAGGACTGCATTAAAGACCTAACCAATAACTAACCTTCCCCAGGAAAGCTCCAGTAAGAATGGACTGCAAATGCCTCTTGTCCCTGTCTGTCCACTGGCTGTCAGGTATTTACTCATAAGCAGAAAAGGAGGTAAGATTTACTTTGGGATGTTGAGCATGAAAATTAGCTAATAATAATGAAGCACTTGAAACTGTAAACATACTGCTGTAAAGTACTATTGTCTGTCCACTACACACAGAGTTCCATGATGTCATGGTATTTCACCAACACTCTGAGTGTAGTGCCTGTTTGATCACAACTGTGCTATATTTGTGGACCATTCCATATATGACCACACACACAAAAGCGGTACTGGAACCCTTTTGGGTTTATAGCCCCGCTTGGTTCCATGACAATTCACCTAAGTCGGCCAGCCTGGGGAAATCCCCAACTTTGCTCCTTCCCCCACCCACCTCATTCACAGGCATGGGTTGGGTGAGGATATAATACTTCATTTACTAACATGGGCTGAGGATTTGTAGTGAGAAGAAGTGGGCACGGTTTGCAGGGATCCGCATGTCTCCAACGTCCAGCAAGGCCTGCCATTCCACCCTCTCCAAGACCAGAGTGGCGGGGAGTAGTCACCCAGGTTAACTGCCCCTAAGGGTTGCAACCCTCGGAGTCGGAACAGGAACACGGGCACGCTGGGCACTGGCACCCCATGGGAACAGGACCTCAAAGGCGCTCAGCTACTCTCGCACTCTGGGCAGCGTTCCGTGGCAGTGCCGGCTGTAGCTCCCGGGGGTAGCTTGAAGTCTCGGCCACAGCCAGCACAGATGTAGAGGCGGCGCCGCATGTGCGCGCGACGGTGCCGGATAAAGTGTGAACTGAGGCGGAATCGCCGGCCGCATTCACCACAGGGGTAGGGCCGCTCGCCTGTGTGCGTGCGGGCATGCTCCGCCAGGTTAGAGCGGTGGCCAAAACGGCGTCCGCACACGGCACAACGGTGCGGCTTCTCTCCAGTGTGCACACGCCGGTGCTTGGCCAGCGCAGAGCTCTGCGCGAAGCGCGTACCACAGTCAGCGCATGCGTATGGCCGCTCGCCCGTGTGCGTGCGTCGGTGGCGCGCCAGGCACGAACTGCCACCAAAAGCACGTCCGCAGTCTGGGCAAGCGTACGGCTTCTCGCCTGTGTGCACGCGCAGGTGCTGTGCGTAGTTGGAGCTCTGCGCGAAACGGCGACCGCAGTGAGTGCATAAGTAAGGCTTCTCGCCAGTGTGGCGCCGCCGGTGTTGCCGCAGGTTCGAGGCAGCCGAGAAGCGCTTGTCGCACTCGGGGCACTTGTAGGGCCGTTCGCCGGTGTGCGTGCGGCGGTGTTTTGTCAGAGCCGATTTCTGAGAAAATCCCCGGCCACACTCGGTGCATGCGAAGGGTCGCTCGCCCGTGTGTGTGCGCGAATGCTTGGCTAACGTGGAGCGGCGTGCAAAAGCACGGCCGCAGTCTGGGCACGCGTGTGGGCGTGCTGGATCGGCAGATGGCGCTGGGGCCTCGATCGGGACCTATAGGGAGAGGGGGGGATAGATTAGTTCTGACCCATACGCTTGAGAGCCAGGGACCTGATTATCTGCAAGCTGTAATGTTCCTTCGCCATGTATAAAAGGAAAGCAAGGGTGTCTCCCTCATAGGACGGCTGTGCGCATTAAATTACATTTTGTATTAACGCACATGTCACAGTGCTCGGCGTCATTATAGCTATTCTTTATTAATTCAACAAATATTTACTAAAGGCATACAATGTGCCAGACTCCATTCTAGGCACTGGAGATTCACTATTAAATTTTTTTATATTCCTCCTTTCGGGAAGAATGGATAAAGAGCACCGGTATTGGGAAATGCTTCAAATTTAAGTAAGGTTATGAACTACTGATGTAACATGAGCAAAGATCTAAAGGAGATGAGAAAGCAGGCTACAGAGGGAACAGCAAGACCCTGAGGTAGGAGTATTGCAAGTTAAGTTCCAGCGATGGCAAGAAAAAGTGCCTAGGGCGCAATGCATGAGGGGGAGAGAAATTCATGGGGTGCTCCTGGAGGGCATCTCTTAAGGCCTTGCAATAGGAATGAGATGGGGAACCATTAGAGGAGGTGTTAGAAGGTTTTGAGCAGGGACATAACCAGATCAGACTCATTTTAAAAGCTTCCACCAGGTTGCTGGGGTTGCAGAAAGGCAAGAAGGCAGAAGCAGGAGCCAGAGAGGAGGCTGCCGTCCTGCAGTCATCTGGCAAAAGAAAACAGTGGCTCAGACCCAGGTGACAGGTGAAAAGTGAAGGTGGTAAGAAGTGGTCTGCTTCTGAACATGTTCTTGCCATTTGAGAAAACAGATTTGAAAAACAGATTAGAGATGAGACATAAAGAAAAAGGGAGTCAAAATTACGCCAAGGATCTGAGTTCGGCAGACGCCAGGGTGGCTGAGGAAGAGCGAGTTGAAAGGTGAGACCCGTTTCAGATCACATCTGCAATTCTTGACAATCTGGAGCTCAGGAGAGGGGCCCAGGCTGGAGGTATTGATTGGGAAGCCATCAGCCTATAGACGGTTTTGAAAGCCTTCAAACTGAATGAGATTACCCAGGGAATGAGCAGAGAGAACATGGGGCAGTAAGATTAGCAGCAGCCAAAGAGGTGGGAGAGGATGGCGTCTTAGAAGCCAGGCCAGGAGCAAATCCAGGCTTTTAAATAAACTTTGAAGATCCAGCACCTACCATTTCTTAAGCTGTGAAGAAGACAAGGGTGAAGCCCAAATACAATTCTGAGGCCTGAACTAAAAATGAGCCCCTTTCATGACGTCTGGGCTTCTACAGATAAAATCAGAAAAAGGAAAGAAGTGTTTCGTAAAAGGCAGGTGAAGGGAAAACGTAGTAACCATATTAACATTGTATTATGTTAACGTTTTGTGTTAGCAGCAGAAAGAACAGGAATACTGAGGGCATATTGCTCCCTCCCTAGGAAAGAGGGGGCTCATCCCTGCCAAGATGATGCTGAGTATCTTCCGTGGGCCAAGCAGTTAGGTACATTAATTCATGAACGAATAAATGCCTGGCACATATGAAGGACAAGACACTGTCAGCTTCTCCTCAGAGTAGTTATCACATTCTTATTTTATAGATAAGGAAACAGGTTGACAGAGGATGACAGCTGGGGAGCAGTTAACACCTCCCCCGCCCCTTAAGTTGCGAGGAGGGCTACTTCAGCCTTGAAGATCCTGCATAAAAAGGCTGTTGCTTTTTGGTAGCCAACTCAGAAGCTGGAACACCAGCTTTGGGAAATCAGTGACCAGCCAAGGGAACTCTACTTTAAACAGTACATATAATGATAGTAGTGATCCCGACATTACAGTGTAAGCTTCAACAATGCCATTTGATGTTTATTATTGTATTAAGTCTTCCTGTCACCCCCTTGAGTCAGGTGTTATCCTTTGATAATTAAGAAAACTGAGGCGTGCCCTGACTGGAGCAGCTCAGTTGCTTGGGCATCATGCTGCAAAGCGAAAGGCGGCCGGGTCAATTCCTGGTCGGGGAGCATGCCTGGGTTGCGGGCCCGGTCTCCCGTAGCGGAATGTGCAACAGGCAACCGACAGGTGTTTCTCTCACACATCGATGTTTCTCTCCCTCTCTTTCCCTTCCCCTTCCCCTCTAAGAATATATAAATAAAAATCCTTTAAAAAAAAAAAGAGAGAGAGAGAGAGGAAGGAAGGAAGGAAAAGGAAAGAAAGAAAACTGAGGCGCAGGGAGATTAAATCCCCAGAGCCAGTGGGAGTCAGGACGCTTAACTAGTAGTCTACCTTGTACTTCCCTGCACTTGCGCAGCCAAGATGTGACAGAAGGGCGGGCTCCAAGTCCCTGCTACTCTCCAAGGAGGATTCAAAGTTAAAACTACAATTGATACTTTAAATCGAGACACCCTCCATAGCAGATTTGGCACAGTCCGAATTCAAGGTCACTCTTTCCTGTCATGCTGGGTTTTGACACCTATTGGTTTTATTTCAACACGTCAGCCCTTGTGGAGAGAACTTTCCTTATTATATCTACATTTGTTCTGGCCCCTTTTTCTTTGGCACCCTTCTCTGACATGACCTTGACCAGCCTGAGGACTTCCTCATGCTGGGTTCACTGGCTTAGGAAGAACTTCTTCACGCAAGTGTTCTTGGTACCTGCAGCTCCAGGAGGAGGGGCTTGGGGGCCCCAGGAAAAATCTTGGTAAGAGGGGCTGAGACTGGCTCATTTAGACGCCAGGCAAGGTGCTCCCTTCTCAGGCCTTGGTGAACCACGGAAGGTGAGGTAGGCTAGGTGAGATACAATTACTGAACTTGAGCTATGCACACATCACAGGATGCAAGAGGGTCCCAAGCCTTCTGCAGGCACACTTTTCTCTCATTATAATCATTATGCACTTCTTTTCACAGATATCAGGCAAACAACGGATCACAGGAAACCCACAGGTCCACCAGCATTATTGTTTGGATGAAGCTGGAGTTAAGAAAAACAATGTGAATCTACCTGAAGAAGAGCAGTAAATAAATGAGCCCAGCGGGCAAGCGATTTACATGGCAACTGGCAACCACCAGACTAGGTGGTCATTAAAGGACTTCGCTTGTCTTAAATTCTACAAGTATTAGACTTAAAAATGAGAATAAGAGGTATCTGCACTACAACAAGAGGTTATCATGGGCGTACAACGTCGTCTAGTAATATGATAATCCAAGTATTTGAAGATAGTGATCTTCTCTTCCTGTGTAAGTTTGTTTTTTCCAACCAGAGCAAAGCTCCCAGCTTCCTCCTCAGCCACTGCTTTCCTGATTAATAGTTATAATTATAACTACCATTTATTGAGCACTCTACGTGCCAGGGAGTGTGCTACGTGCTTTTCACCCGTGTTCTCATTTTAAACTCTCACAATCCTTTGGGTTAGGTATCATTAGCTCCATTTTATAAATAAGTAACTACGGCGACCCCCGGCCCTACAGCTAATTGATGGCAGAAGCAGGGTCGGAACTGGAAGTCTGCCATTGTCCGAACACCTGTTCTTCCTCATGACGCAATTCTCTCACTTACAAGTTAGACGTCACCTACACAGCTTGTCTCCCTCACCTGGACTCTTTTCAGAATCCCCCTTCTGCTTAGTACAAAGTGTAAAATATGGTCCCTATCCTCTAGCTCCTTGCTACAGGAAGTGTGGTCCACAGACCAGCCTTATCAGCATCACTGGGAAATTTTTAGAATCTCAAGTCCCACCCCAGACCTGCTGAATCGAAATCTTCACTTTATGAGATTCCCAGGTGATTTCTATGCACGTTAACATTAAGACACAACCTAGAAGACAGTAGAGAAACTCCTGGAGAAAGCAGCTGCAAAAGGTGAAGAGGGTTTTACAGGCTGAAGGACCACACATGCCAAGTCTGAGCCTGGGACCAGAAACCTTTCTCAGCCATAGTTGTTCTCCAGCCGTCTGAAGCTGGGGCATGGGAAGGGTGTTGGGTGATGAAGTCAGTACATGAGGACAGGTGGCGTAGATCTTTGAATGCCAGGCTTAGGAGCCAGGACTTTATCCTGAGGGAAACAGAAAACCTAAGGTTTAAGGAGCTGGAGGGAGGGAGGCAGGGAGGGAGGGAGGACTGGGTGTGCAGAGAGCCCTTTGAGAAAATCTTTGTATTCGTTAAAGAGATTGGCTTTCGATAGGCAATGAAAGAATGCTTCAGCCTCTGCGTAGAGCATAATTAAGGCCTGTCCTGGACAATGACTGGCCTTAGGACTGAGTGATAGCTAAGAGCTATAGGATGTCAGCACTGGGAGAAGCTTTTGGGATCAATGTTTTCATAGAAACAGACTCAGGGAGACCACGCCGCAAGTTAGTGAGTTATCTTGTGGGCACAGTGCTGAGCTAAATGTTTATGGGGTGTGTGAGTAATCCTCATTTCCACCCTCCTCCTCCAAATACAGTCACCCAGATGATACTTAGACTGGCTTTCAAAAATCTCACTTCCATTATCTCATTTTACAGAGAAAGCAAAGGCAAAGCTGATAAATGGTGTAGTTAGAATCTGAACCAATGCTTCTAACTGCTACATGTACCATTCACAGTCTGTCCCCACTTACATCTCATGACTAGCCATGCCCACCCTCCACCTTCTCATCCTTGGCTCCAGCCAGTGCGATCAAGGTTCCCAAATATCCCCTGCTTTCTGTCTTGTCTCCACTGCTGTCACTACCTCAGAGCAGCCTACCAGCCTTACATGGCCTGTTCTTCCCACAACAGACAATGAATCTTCTAAATAGAAAATCCAATGTCTTTCTTCAGTGTGTCAAGTTCCTACACTGGCTCTCAATGCCTTTAACTCTCGAGCCCCATCTCCTCTGAGCCTTTGCTTTTGTTGTTTCCTCCTCCTGGGAAGCCCTTCCCCTGCCTCCATTTGCCAAATCTCCGCTAAGCTTTCTCTGTAAAGCCTGCTGGGCTGCCTTGAGTTGGTTGCCCTCAGTCCTGTCTAGGCCTCCATGTTGGTTTTCCCTCGCATCCCCAGCCCCAGGATTCGGCCTAAAACGGCCTTTGATAAAAGCGAGTTGAAAAATCTCCAGAAGGATGACCTAGACCCAGGTCCTGAACTTTAGGGAGAAAATAGCAGCAAATATTTACAGTGTTTATTATTCGCCACACCCAGTTCTAACTCTTTACACGTATTAACTCATTTAATCCTCACAAACCCAAGAAGTGATGCTGTTATGGTTTTGCTTTTACAAATGAGGAAAGTGAGGCACAAAGAGGTTAAGAGACTTGCCCAAGGTCATATAGCTGATAAGTGATAGAGGCAGAAGTCCACTGTAAGCTTTGGAGTCTGAGAGGTTTTTTATTTTTTAAGATTTATTTATTTTTATAGTAAGGCGAAGGGAGGGCGAAAGAGAGGGGGAGACACATTAATCGGTTGCCTCCACAGAGAGGACTCAACCCACAACCCAGGCACTGCCCGACATGGATTCTATCCCTGGAATGTTTGTTTGGTAGGAGGATGCCCAACCGATCCACACTGGTAAAGATGGTGTCTGAGTTCTTATAGGAGGAAGGGGGAAATCAGGAGATCCACAAGATCAGAAAAGTCAGACTAAGCGAGGATGATGGGCCAATCAGGCCTAAGGAAAACAGAACTAGATAGATCTGTTTTATTGGAAGCAGCCAAAGCAGCAAAGCACCTCCGCCTAGTGTCAATCCCACCCACTAGGGGGCAGAAGAACTTTCTTTCCCCGAGATCTGGCTCCTCTGCAGGAAGAAATCAAAGCCCAGCCCCAGACACCTGGCCCAGCTAGAGTTCTCCAACTATAAGCAGAGTTGCACTGGCTGGGGTTGGGAATTCCGGAAGATTCTGGGAAGTGGTGGCAGTTCGGGTCTTTTTCATGTTTTTTATCCTCACCCAAGAACATTTCCCTATCCCGCCCCCCACCCGCCCCCATTGCTTTTAGAGAGTGTAAGAGAGAAAGAGAAACATGGATGCAGCCTTCTTGCACACGCCCCCGACCAGGGATGGAACCTGGCAACCTGGATGTGTACCTTGGCAGGGAATCGAATGTGCAACCTTTGATCCAGAGGACTATGCTCCAACCAACTGAACCACAAGGGCCGGGGCAGCAGTTAGGGTCTTGAATGGGGAAACCTAACTCATATTCTGATGCTTAATTTTTTTTTTTAAACTCCTCTCTTTAAACCTTTGTCACCCTCAGGATAAAGCTCAAATATCCTACCTAAATGGCCACACACCCTAACCTCATCCATGCTACAGCATGACCCAATCACCTGCTCTCACTTCTCCCAGTGCCCCACTCACCCCCTCAGCCACTCAAGGGCCCATTTCTTCCGCCTGGAGTAGTCACCCATTTCACTCCTCACTCTCACTGGTCTCAGATAAGTCATCTCTTCACTAACTTTGAGACCCTGGGCTAGTCACCAAACTGTTCAGTTTCCTGGTCCTCAGTTTCCTCACCTGTAAAATGGAACAAATACTACCTATGTTATAGAACTAAAGTGCTTAAAATAGTGCCTGGAAAATAGTAAATGCTACCAAAGGTCGGAAGTCACTGTTGCCTAACCTGCCCCCGTACCTACCCAAGTCTGCATTAAGTTCCCAGCTCTAAGCATCCACCAGGTGCCTGCACCCATCACACAGAATTGTAGCTGTGTGGCTACTTAGTAGTGTATCCCTGCTACACATCAGGCTCCATGGGGAACTAAGGATAACATTTACTCTCCAGCACCCAGCACAGAGCCTAGGGCAGTTAGTGTGACATCTGTTTGATGTCAGTATCGGCTGTGCTGCAGAAAGACTAGATCTCAGATTCTAGATCTGAGATTCATAGAAAAGTAAGGACAGGATGCCTGGCTTCTGTAGGCTGGAGACCGGACCTAAACCAGGTTAGAGACAACGGGCCCCAGAATGGCACGTACCTCCTTGTTGTCCATGGGGATCTTGAGTTTCACCACTTCATACTTCTCCTCACCCTCATCTTCCTCACCCTTCACCAGCAGGACCATCTCCTCTTGCATCTCTTCTTCCTCTTCCTCTGTCTGTTGTTCTCCTGGCATCTTGGTGTCCTGGGGCGGACAGCTGAGTCAGAAGCTCAGGACCCGCCCCCCATCCTGGCCCTGGCCCAGGCAAGGCAGCGCGGCCCTGGCTTCTCTAGCCCGACCCTGGTCTCTGGGTCTGGCCTTCTCCCCTCCCACCGCAGCTTGGCCCTAGGAACCAGCATTTCCCTGGGACCAGCTCTGAGGACACTCCTTCACCCTACTTATCCCGGCATTTAAGACCGTGACCAGTTCGAATCTCTAGTCCCGGGGATTCACCACCCTCCCCGCTCTCAGTCACTCCCCCGCGCCCGGGTCAGCGGCTCTGAACTCTAGGGTACCGGCTGGAGGCGGGATCGGGGCGGAGACCCAGGGGACTGCGCACTCACCAGCCACAAATTCCGCGCTCGCGCTCGCGCTCGCGCTCGCGCAGCCCCAGGCCAGGTTCAGGGCGGTAAGGGTATCCAGTAAGACCCCAGTTCTGGGGGCGGGGCGGCCTCGAGAGCGCCCGGTCATTGGTCAGAACACCTAACCCCGCCCCTAAGGGAGGGACCCAGAGGATCCAGTTGTCCAGCCCGACTGCCCCTGGAGGATGGGAAACTGAGAGCCAGGGATTCCCGCTGTCCCTCAATGCACAGGACACATGGCCGCTCCACCCCGTTTTCAAGGTCCTCGCAGTCCAGTTGTAACCTATCTTCAAGGCTTGTCTCCTGAGGCCCGGTGGGAGGTCTCGGCTGCAGCCAAGCGCGTCCGCTCCGCCCAAACTAGGCCATGTGCGCTCCAGCCCTGGCCTGGGCCTCTCACTGGCGCCCCGCCTGGAGGGCGGACCCGGTTGCCTCCTCACTTCTTCGCTTTCCTCCAGTGCTGTCTTTCCTCCTTTACCGGCGTCGCTTTTCTGGTCTTCTGGTCTCTGGGATATCTTGCTTCTTGAATACATACTTACCAAATCTACAGCCACAGAAAAGCTGCCGCTAACCTGTCGTGTATTGTGCCTACTATGCGCCAGCTAAGCCCTTCAGAGACTTCACTTTTTTTTTTATGATTTTATTATTTATTTTTATCCCTGGCTGGTGTGACTCGTGGATTAAGTGCCAGCCTGTGAGCCAAAGGGTCGCAGGTTTGATTCCCACTCACAGCACAAACGTGGGATGCGGGCCAGGTCCCGGTGCGGGGCGCGCCAGAGGCAACCAATGTATCCCGTATTTCGATGTTTCTCTCCCTGTCCTTCGTCTCTCTAAAAATTATTTTTTAAAAAGATTTTATTTATTTTTAGAGAGAGAGAGAGAACTTAGATGTGTGGTTCGGTCTCACATATGCTCCTGTTGGGACTGTGGACAGGCCCCAGAACAGGCATGTGTGATGAGCAGAACCGAATTGGTGACCTTTTTCTCTCCTGGATGACGCTCAACAAACTGAACAATAACGATTGTGACCCACCTAATGTCTTTTTAAAATTAAATGTATTGGTCGTTGGCTGGTGTGGCTCAGTGGATTGACTGCTGACCTGCGAACAAGGAGATCTCCCGCTTTGTTCCCAGTGAGTGCACATGCTGGGTTATAGGCTAGGTCCCCACGTGTGAGAGGCAATGGATCCATTAATCTCTCACACATGGATGTTTCTGTCCCTCTTTCCCTCCCTTCCCCTCTCTCTAAAAATAAATAAATAAAATCTTTTAGCTCCTGGCTGGTGTGGCTCAGTGGATTGAGTGCCGGCCTGCAAACCAAAGGGTCACTGGTTTGATCCCCAGTCAGGGCACATGCCTGGGTTGCAGGCCAGCTCCCCAGTACGGGGCTTGTGAGAGGCAACCACACATTGATTTTTCTCTCCCTCTCTCCCTTACTCTGTCTAAAAATAAATAAATAAAATCTTTTTAAAAAAAATAATGTATTGGGGTAAAAGTATCACCACCCAAAATCTAGTCTCCTTCAGACACCATAGATTTGACCACGGTTATCCTCGTCCTTCCACCCCATTCCCATCTGTTGTCTGTATCTGAGTTTGCTGATCTCTTATGATCTGCACAGAGGTGGGTCCATTTTACAGATGGGCTCATTGAAGTTCTGGGAAGTAACGGATTTGCCTAAATTATACAGCATCCCTGACAAGCCAGCAGCCAGTGTGGAAAATTGGTAGCTCACAGACCAAATCCGGACCGCAGAAGTATCTTGTCTGACCCTCAGGGTGTTTTTACATTTAAAAATCAGCTTTAAAAAAGAGAGGTCTTTTACACATTTTTATTGCCAACATTCTAAAATTGGGATACTTCATGTAAAAACTTTATTTCCCGTTTCTTTTGAAAAAAATACCTAATTCTTCCATTTTATGAATGGGGAATTAAGAATCAGAGATGATGAGAGAAAAGAGGACTAACATTCAGTAAATGCTTAAAATCCCTACGTTGCCTCTTTACAACAACTCTGTGGGGATCAGTAATAGCATCTCCCTTTGATAACTGAGGGAAGTAAAGCTTGGAGACCTTAAGTAATTTGTCCTAAGTCAAATAGCTGGTAAGTAACAGGTTCCAAAGCTGGTGTTCTTTCTATTGCATCAAACTTTCTCTCACAAAGGAGGTTACGCAAGGAGTTTGGTAGCAGCACTGGGACTCAAGCCGGAGCTGCGGTCCTGAGAGTCTGGGACATAATTTGAATGTCGGGATTACACCTGGTCAAACTTCTGTTTTTTCCCCACAGCTGGGAAAAGGTGGCAAATGCCTGGATACTCAACACTCAAGATCCCCAAAGCCACTTGGACTGTGTTCATTCTCTCAAGTATTTATTGAGCCCTACTAAGTGCCCGGCCCCAGTCTAGGTACTGGAGATGCAGTAGTGAACAAAACAGACACAAATCTTCACTACTGTGGCCCTTCTAAGGTGTACAAAATGTGAGCTACATCCCTGGCCATATGGCTCAGTCGGTTGTGGTGTCATTCCATACACCAAAAAGGTTGTGGTTGTGGGTTTGGTCCCGGTCTGGGCGCCAATGGGAGGCAGCTGATCAATGCTTACATTGATGTTTCTTTCTCTCCCTTCCTTTCTCTCTAAAATCAACATATCCTGGGGGGAGGATTAAAAACATCCCCAAAATGTGAACAATAAGGAGGACAATTTCAGATACTGACAGGAATAAGAAGGAAACAGAGCAAGAAGATGCACTAGGGAGTGGTGTAATTGGGGACTTCTTTAACGTGGGCAGGGACAGCACCTCTGAGGAAATGATATCTGAGATGCTTTCAATGATGAGAAAACGTTAGCCATTTGCAACTTGGGAGGAAGTGTGTAGTTCTAAACAGAACTACGGAGTCCTTAAGGTAAGGATAAGCTTGGCATATTTGAGAAAAAGAAAAGGCCTGTGTGGCTGGAGTCAAGTAAGTTAGCAGGGGAAAATGTGTAGGAGATGGAAGAGAGGTAGGCGGGGACCAAGTAATGGCTGGAACCCCACCTCTAACAAAAGGCAAGGCTTGCTTGCCCTGATTCAGAGAGTCAGTGAGGAGTCTCGGCTGAGAGGAGTGAAAGTTCCTAAAGGAAGCATGTTCTACTGTGGAAGGACTTGGGAACAGATTTTTTGAAAAGGAGGATGAGAACTCTACATCCATTTGCTTTACAAACATGTACAAATATCTACCTAGAACTGGAGCTAGTTCCCATTCTTGAGAATCTTAGATTCTAGTAAAGAAGATTGTGATAAAAAAATACATATGAGTATCCCAGCCAAGATAGAGGAATAGGTAGGTACACTTTGCCTCCTTGCACTACCAAAAGAAGGACAACAGCAAATTTAAAAACAAAAAACAACCAGAAATGCAAGAAAATGGAACTGTGTGGAAGCCCAACAGCCAAGGAGTGAAAGAAGAAATATTCATCCAGACCAGTAGGAGGGGTGGAGACAGGCAGCTGGGGTGGAGAGGACACATGGTAAGGCAGCAGCTGGAGGACTGGGTGGGCAACTCGGTGGCTGGCAGACTGGGCGGTCCCACATTTGTATGGAGGAACCACTGGGGAGCAAGACACACCTGGCAACCCAGGGTTCCTGAGCCATAAAAGAAAGCCTCAGAACCTCTGGCTGTAAAAATCTGTGGGCATTGCGGCAGTAGCAAAAAGTCCCAGCCTCACAGCAGAGTTCATTGGAGAGATCCACAGGGTCCCAGAACATACACAAACCCATCCATATGGGAATCAGCAAGAGAGAGGCCCAATTTGCTTGTAGGTAGTGGGGGAAGTGACTGAAAGTGGGGCAAGAGCTGAGCAAGCGGTATTGTTCCCTCTCAGACCCCTACCCCACATACAGCACCACAATGCAGCAATGTAGGTTGCCCGGTCCTGGCAAATACCTAAGGCTCTGCCCCTTTCAACATAATACGAGTGCCGAAACAAAGAAATATGGCCCAAATGAAAGAACAGATCAAATCTCCAGAAAAAATACAGCTAAGCGATGAAAAGATAGCCAACCTACCACATGCAGAGTTCAAAATACTGGTAATCAAGATGCTCACAGAAATGGTTGAGTATGGGAGCAAAATAGAGGAAAAAGTGAAGGCTATGCAAAGTGAAATAAACAAAAATATACAGGGAACCAATAGTGAAGGGAAGGAAACCGGGACTCAAATCAATGATTTGAAGCAAAAGGAAGACATAAACATTCAACCAGAACAGAATGAAGAAAGAACTCAAAAAAATAAGGAGAGGCTTAGGAACCTCTGGGACAACTTTAAACGTCCCAACATCCTAATCATAGGGGTGCCATAAGGAGAAGAGGAAGAGCAAGAAATTGAAAACTTACTTGAAAAAATAATGAAGGAAACTTCCCCAATCTGGCAAAGGCAATAGACATTCAGGAGATCCAGGAATCTCAGAGAGCCCCAAAGGAGTAGGACTCAAGGAAGCACACACCAAGGCACATCCTAATTAAGTTATCCAAAGCAGCAATCTTCAAAACAAGAGAAAAGGAGACAGTTACCTACAAAGGAGTTCCCATAAGACTATCAGCTGATTTCTCAAAAGAAACCTTGCAGGCAAGAAGGGGCAGGCAAGAAGTTTTCAAAGTCACGAAAAGCAAGGACCTACATCAAAGATTTCTCTGTCCAGAAAAGCTATCATTTAGAATGGAAGGGTAGATAAAGTGCTTTCCAGATAAGGTCACATTAAAGGAGTTTACCATCACCAAGCCCTTATTATATGAAATGTTAAAGGGATTTACCTAAGAAAATGAAGATCAAAACTGTGAACAATAAAATGACAACAAACTCACAACTATCAACAACTGAACCTAAAAAAACAAAAACAAAAGTAAGCAAACAACTAGAACAGGAACAAAATCACAGAAATCACATGCGGTCACATGTAGGGTTATGAGTGAGGAGGGGCTGGGGCAAGAATAGGGGAAAGGTACAGGGAATAAGAAGCATAAATGGTAGGTGTAAAATAGACAGGAGGAGGTTAAGAATA